CCCTCTCTGGCAGCTGAAAACTATACCAAATGCACATCAACCACGTCCCTCACTGTGTGAAGGACCCATTCTCTTCCTGCTGACTTTCCACTTGGAGGCTAATCACCCCAGCCAAGAACAGACATCCGCGGCAGCGTGACCCTGAAAGTCCACAGGATCACGGCTTGTCGTTTTGCCCGCAGGCTCCTAGAACCCAGACATCTCCCTGCCAACTGCTGGAGACACTAGAGCATCACCCTGTACCAGGAGCAGGGCCCAGACCAGCGCCCAGCGCAGCGCCACCACACTCCTCTCGGGCTGCACCTACCATCTGCTCTGATCCCCCCCGGTGGGGAAGGGCTCCCTGCTCCAAAAACCTGCTCCCTAACAAGCTCCACTTGGAACCTGAAGCCTTGCATTCCACAATTCGATACAAGGTGAAAAGGCAACGATCCTGGAAGCGGTTACACAACAACGCACGGTTCCACCTGGGAGTGTGAATGGCCCTTCTCTGTGAGGTGATGTAATCGAATAGGATGGAGAGCCCGAGCGCAGGAGGAGCGAGGATGTGGCCGGGGGGCGCCGAAGACAAATCGCTTCTGCCCAAAATGGGACCTTGGGCGCCTCAGCTATGTGCCAGGCATTGCACTATATTGCTTCTATACACATTATCTCATCTCATCCTCAGAGGGACCCAACGACGGGGGCATTACTGTTTCCATTTTAGAGGGAAGCAAACAGTTTCAGGTGTTATGTGTTCGTTTAAGGCCAAACAGCCAGCAAACGGCGCAATAGTTCGGTTCTGTGGTTTCCCTGATGACCATCTTGGCGCACAGGTGATAGAAGCACAGATCAGGAGGGCGAGTACGCTTCATCCCCTGGTGGCTACAGGGGCACAGGCCACTGTCGAGTGCTCTGCTATATGCAGGGGGCGGGAGGAGATGCTCCCGCCCGCTCGTGTATCTGCCAGCCCAGGCCTAAGGGTCACTAGACCGCAGCCTCGAACACCGCACGCGACAACGTGGAGACGGAGACACCCTCCCGGCGTCCCGGCCTCCGCAGGCCAGCATGGTTCCCACAGCAACCCCAAACAGGCAGGGCAAACGTCCCGGACCATGAATTCGGATGCGCAATACCCGTTATTGGTCTTCCCGCTCCCAACCTCTCATTTGGCCCTTGTTTTCACCTTGAATCTCATCAGTTTCAGGTTTTCTAGGTAAACGCGTATATTAGGTTGTGTTTGCCCCGCTTTGCTCAGGCTCTACAGGCCGGGTCGGCTTACCTGGTGGTAGGCCAGGAGTGAACTCCGCGCAGGCTGCCTCTTCCCGCGTCCCCAGGAGCCGGTCCTCGACCTCGCCCTTCAACCTTCACCCCGGCTCGGGTAGTGTAGGTCCCACCGCGGCTGGGGCCAGCCCTGGAGACAGCACTCACCTCCTACCAGGCCGGCTGACCCGCAGGGCCGCGAGGAACTCTGGGACATCGCGTCTCTGGCGCATGGCACCCTGGGAGGGGACGGGGGCGGGGTGGGTGAGTGGGCGGGGCCGCCACAGGCCGCGCCTTTGTGCCGGTTTCCAAGCCCTGGCTGCTCCTGGGTACCCCAGGGTATCTGAAGGCGCTGTAGCTCTGTGTGGAACGCAGGGAGGCGCAGGAAACAGCTACAGGCACTATTGTCTCTTTCCTCCCTGGCTCCAGCCCTCTGTCCTTTCCCCAGGACAGAGTTTTCATCTTCCTGGTGTTTCTGTTTTATACTAAACCACAGTTTTTAAACTTAAAAGCCAAGCATGTTACTTTCATTCTTTGATTTCACTCTCATTTGGGATAGGGTTGCCAGAGAAAATACAAAACACCTATTACATCTGAATTTCAGATAAATGTCAAATAAATTTTTAGTGCAAGTATATCCCAAATATTGCATAGAATATACTTTTACTAAAAAGTATTTGTCATTTATCTGATTCAGATTGAACTGGGTATCCTGTATATTTACTTGCTAAGTCTGGCAACCCTATTTTGGGAAAGGCCTGTTTTCTGTTACCCTCCATCAGGGTAGTGCCATGGGGTACCAGGTGCACGTGTGTCTTTGTGAGGAGCAAGATTATGTTAATATTTCACAATATCATCTTCCCACACAAATAGAAATGCACACAATAGGGACGCGTTTTATCTGCAGGATACTGTGAAGAGTTTATTTGGAACAAACAAAACCGTCATGTCCTATATAAGTTAGGAAGTGCAAGTACAGTTACTGCAACCTGCTCTCTTGTAAATGTGTTTCAGTCACTGACATTCAGACCATGCAGACACAAGGGAATTCAACCAAATAAAAGTCAGCAAAGCTCCAATGCTCCCTGGTCACACACATACACACTGTGCTTGTTGAAGCAAGCAGAATCGCAGTGCTCTGAAGTCAGGTGTTTCCTCTTTGTGTGAACCTGGACAAGCTACTTCTCCCTACACCTGAGTCAAGGGCGTGGCATGAAAATAAACACACTACAATATTAACCCTTATGGTCAGAATTGCTGACTGAACTGAAGTAGTGGATGTGACATTTTATAAGCAATTTAAATCCACTGAGAGAAGAATTTACTGTGCTTACTCACCCTTCTCAGAAATGTCTGAGTGAGAGAAGGTGACTAAGTTGGGACATTTCTAACAGGTCATTCATAAACACAAAGAGTTGGTGTTTGAGGATGACTGGGCTCAGCCTCCTGTCTTTTGCCCACCACACCCCTAGTTCTAGAGGAGCTTCTGCCCTAGGACTTAGGATGGGCATCCAGGAAGAAAAGAGGGGCTCTGAAGGAAGAGACAGGAAACCTAAAAGACATGATGTGCTTTTTCCAAAGACGCACCCAGAGCCAACCTTACCCAACCATCTCAGACCCTCCTGTCACTCCTGCATCTTCCCCCCACCAGCGTGATTAATATTCCTTCCATTTCACACTCCTCCCTCGGGGTCCAAGTTGCCATAGTCACAAGCAGCTGTCTCCTGTGTGATAACACTGTGACGGCTCACAGGCTAACCTGGACTCCAAAGCCATCTTCACCCTCTTTCTCCTTTCTTTTTAAGTGTGTGTGTGTATGTGTGTGTGTATACTCGCGTGTACGCCCACGTGCAAGAATTTTTTTAAAAATATATTTATTTTTGGCTGTGTTGGGTCTTCGTTGCTGCACACAGGCTTTCTCTAGTTGCGTCGAGCGGGGGCTACTCTTTGTTGCGGTGTGCGAGTTTCTCATTGCAGTGGCTTCTCTTGTTGTGGAGCATGGGCTCTAGGCACGTGGGCTTCAGTAGTTGTGGCACACGGGCTCAGTAGTTATGGCTCACGGGCTTAGTTGCTCCATGGCATGTGGGATCTTCCTGGACCAGGGATCAAACCTGTGTCCCCTGCATTCGCAGGTGGATTCTTAACCACTGTGCCACCAGGGAAGTCCCTGTGCAAGAATTTGAGGAAGAAAAAAACTTTGACCTTGAGACAAAGGTTGATTTTTCTTGGGCTTTCTTTGCCTGTATTGCTGACGTAACCAGGGACCATCCTAGGTTTGAGTCTATCGTGCTCCAGAAGAGACTGGCACAAGAAATGGCCTTCACATCCCACCCTGGGCTTTATACCTGACTTAAGGTCCCCTGGGCAGTAAAGGACAACAACAGTATATTTTAAAACTCTGTCATCACCTAGGGCCTCTTTGGCTCTTTGGGTATAGAGAGTCACCAGGTGAAGGTGCCCCATGTCCCCCCTCTGCCCACGTTCTTCCCCACAGAAGAAGAAAATAGACACAGGTCACCTGGAGGACTCTTCAGGGTCAGAAATATCCCTTTTCATTCCATTGTCTCTGGAGCAAAAGATGCTCTAAAATGGGCATAATAAACATCTTTACGCATCTTCCCTCATTACCAGAATATTCTTTAGTGGTGTTACCACGATGACCCAAACAATCCGTGAATGAAGCTCTTCTTGAGTTTCTCGTGTGTGCCCAGCCTTATTCTAGGAACTGTAGGCTGATACATGTAGCAGGAATAGCGCCTGCCTTCAAGGAGCTTACAACACTGGACGGTCCCACGCAGGCATCCACGTGCGGAAATTGATCTAGTTAGTGGGGGGAGGGGCTTCCACCACCCCAGCCCCACCATTTCAGCCACCTTGTGTCCCAGCAGATTGCAGCTTGTGATGGCTGGGGCAGTAAGGTCATCAGTCAAAGAGGGCTCTGGGCAGTGGAGCACTTGACCTTGGGAATAGAGTGGAATGGAGGGAGATCTTAGGGGACCCGCACCATGAGCCTCCACGTGCCATATTGATTTCCACTGCACTTCTTCTGAGGCATAAATTGCTCTAATTCTCCTTTCTTCCACCCCTGAGCTTCTCTTCATTTCTCCCAGAGGATGCTGAACTTCCAGTTCAGGTTTAGAAGGCAGGAATGGGGCAAACAAAGGAGGAAAATTTATTTCAAGTCCTGTTTTGTTTCTAACAAGACTCTTGACTTGAAAGAGCCCCAAGTATTGGGGTGGGGGGCAGTGAAGGGGAGGAATAAATAGAAGGAGTCCCAAGTGGTGGAGCATCCTTCTTGCTCAGAACTATAGGAAACGTCAAGGTCAAAAGCAAAGCCATCCCTGGTGGTGCAGCGGTTGAGAATCCGCCTGCCAATGCAGGGGACACGGGTTCGAGCCCTGATCCGGGAAGATCCCACATGCCGCGGAGCAACTAAGCCCGTGCACCACAACTACTGAGCCTGCGCGTCTGGAGCCTGTGCTGCGCAACGGGAGAGGCCGTGACAGTGAGAAGTCCACGCACCGCGATGAAGAGCGGCCCCCACTCTCCACAACTGGAGAAAGCCCTCGCACAGAAACGAAGACCCAACACAGCCAAAAATAAATAAATAATTTTTTTTTTTTTTTTAAAAAAAAGCAAAGCCAGGTTGGAAGGATGAGCAGAAAAACCACAAGACAAAAAGCAGTAGCAGTCAACCTTCCTTAAGCAAATGTTAAATACACTTATTATAGCAATAAATAATAATGCAGTATGGAGCGTACATGGTGTAAACACCTTTAATACAATTCTAATTTTCTCTTTGCTTCAAGAGCCACAGATTGTTATGGCAACAAGACAGAAAAACAGATCACAGTATTAATTTGATATCTCAGCTTCATTTGTTCCACATTTGCAATACAACACATGCATGATAAACAAGCCGGGGCTGAGCCAAAGCAGAGGAAACACTAAAACCACAGAAGGGCACCGTGGAGCACCCTCTCAGCCTTGACTTTTGTTAAATAAAAAATAAATAATAATTTTCTACAAAGAACAGCAGTTCGGTTGCCCACATAATTTGCTATTTGATTGAGAAGCAGATAGTTCTGTTCTTGCCAGCCTGATGATAAAAGGGAAAATGGGAACAGGCAGCAGAGGGTCATTCAGGAAGTCCTCCACCACCAGTCTGGAGCTGAGGAAGCTTGGCTGGCCTGCCTCTTAGCTCTCCACGTGCCGGGACCCCCCTTGCACACCTCCCTACCCCCACCCAGCTCACTTTTAACTTTGCAGCCAGAGTGATCTTCTCAGAACAAAAATCGGATTCTTTGATGTGGAGAAAAAGGAAGTCTCATAAATTGCTGGTGGGAGTATAAACTGGTAGCATCTTCCTTGGATAGAACCTTGGCAATATCTAGTAAAGTTGAATATTCTCATGACCTATGCCCCTTCTTGAGTATAGAACTTTCGATATTAGATGCTTTTGCCCATGTCTCCAAGGACACATGCCCAAGACTGGTCATTCCAGTATCGTCTATAGCAGAAAAAAATTAGAAACAACGTAAATGTCCACCAACAAGAGAGTAGGTAAATTATGGATATGTAGTCATAAAATGGATTACTCTTCAGTTATTTCAAACAAATGACCTACAACCATATCTTCAATGTGTATGTATGATATCATTTACACAAAGCTTAAAAACTTGTAAAAAAATATCATAGAAAGTATATGGATCTACAAATATGTGATGTAAAAAAAGAAATACGGCAACATGAGAGATCATGCTGGTTTAGATTTGACAGTTGGAGAAGGTTTTCTGAGGAAATATGCTTGAGTGACAGGAAAGGGTCCAGTGCTGAGATAGGGGTGGGAGCCCAGGGTTCTACATAGCCTGGGGTGTAAGAGGCTTCCTGGAATCAAATCCTGCTTTGTCTGCCAGTTAATCACTGTGTGACCCTGGGCAAGTCATATAATCTCTCTGTGCCTCAGTTTCCTCATATGTAAAACTGTAATAATAATAGTACTTACCCCATAGGGCTGAGGTGAGAATTAAATATGTTGATGTGTAAAGTCAGAACAATGCCTGGCACATGCTAACAGCTATATGACGGGGTGCAACTACTTCTTTTCCAGGTAGAAGAAACAGTAAATTCAAAGGCAGGGGGAGGGGGAGAAAGGATGGGCAGAAAAGCGTTGAGTATTCCTATAAGAGCAAGAAACTCATGTGAACAGAGCAAAGTGAGCAAGGGAAGGTGGATGGTGGACGGCTCTGAGGTTGGAGATCAAATCCCAACAGGCCTTAGAGGATATGGCAGGAAGCTTAGATGCTGCTGCATATGCTACTGCAGAGATGTAAACCATGGAACAACGTGATCCAGTGCGTATACTTGAAAAATATGACTCTCACTCAGCAATAAAAACAGTCAATACTCACAAGCACTGGATGAATCTCCAGGGAATTCTTCAAAGTGAAAAAGCCAATCCCAAAACGTTATACACTGTATGACTGCATTTCTACAACACTGTTGAAATGATAACAGATTAGGGGTTGCCAGTGGTTAATGAGGGGGTGGGGGAGGGAGGTGGGTGTGGCTGTAAAGGGGCAACACAGGAAGAGTATCTGTACACACATGTTCACAGCAGCATTACTCACAACAGGCAAAAAACGGAAGCCACCCGAGTCCATCGATAGAGGAATGGAGAAATAAAATGTGTATATGCATACAATGGAATATTATTTAGCTTTGAGAAGGGAGGAAATTCTGAAACACGCTACTACAAGTAGCATGAAGACGTTACACTAAGTAAAATAAGCCAGACACAAAAAAAGACAAATACTGTAGACTCCACTTATGTGGGGGTATCTAGAGCACTCAAATTCATAGAGACAGAAAGTACAATGCTGGTTACCATGAGAGTGGGGAATGAAGAGTTATTGTTTAATAGGTACAGAGTTTCGGTTTTGCAAAATGCGAAGAATTCTATGGATGGAGGGTTGTGATGGTATCACAACAATTTGAAGGTACCTGATGTTGACTACATCAATTTATCTAGACCACACTTGCCTCATCTATAAAAGGAAAAGATTAAATTAGACCAATAGTAAGAAATGACCAAATCTGTGACTAAAGAGGGCATACATCAAACAATACAAAATTGTGAATATTTCTGCATTCATTCATTTCTATTATCAATTTTCTACTTACTTATTTCAATAACTCTATGGTACAAAAAAGAGTTAAAGCTATTGGCAACCCACATATAAAACAGAGCAACACGACAAGAATTAGGAGTGGGTGAGAGGGAAGAAAAAACAAAGGCAATGGTAAACAAGAGGAGGAGATAAAATACTAACAAAAATGAGACTAGAACACAAAACTAAGTTCTATATCCTTGCTAAAAGCAAGCCCAAAATTGTGCTCTGAGCTGCCTAGAAGCCAATGGGAAAAGGGAAACATACACACCAAAGAGTAAAAGCAAACCAATCACTCAATTAAAAATAATAATAATAATAATAAACTGGACAGTATACAAAGATAGGACAAGTAAATTCTCTTGAGGATCCTTTTGAGAGAACAATGTTTATTTCAATGATCAATGTCCTTCAAAGCTTCCTTACTGGACACACAGCAATGAGCTCCTTGGGACTTACAAGCTGGTAGCATCACATTAATGTGCAACTCAGTAACTCAGGAAGCCAATGCAATAGCCTTCAGGTATACAGCTCTCTGTGGCTCAGGCTAAATTCAAAGAATTTTTTTAGATGATCTAGATGTATGGAAGGACTACATGTCTTTCAGTGATCTTCACTTAATACTGTTTCCAATGAGTTTCTAGATATCAGATAAAGACATTCCTGTCAATTTTTTCTTCTTAAATTCATCTCAAATAGTAAAAGGAAAAAAGTCAGAAATATGGATGCATTTTTGATGAAACTAAAGAATCTTTGTAACTTAGAACAAAATGAAGGCAAAAAGCAGATGAAAATGACCAAGCTGGGAGCAGGAATGTCATACCTAAGAGCCTACAGTGGTGAGTTGGGTCCAGAGAAAGCAGATTGGCCGTGAAGCCCAGGAAGCCTCTGGATCTGGAGGCACAGGTGGTGGAGGGGGCGCAGTTTCAGGGAAAGGGAAGAAGTGGAAGCAGGAAGGTCGTTTGAAAGTCAGGAGGAGGAGAGCTTAGATTCCCAGCTCCTGACCCCACCTAGTCCCACAACCAATTCACCCATCCCCCAGCAGTGCTAAGAGCTTGAACCAATTCACAGGTGCCAGGCATGAGGAGGGTGGCCATGGGTGGTCCTGTGACCAGACTTAGGGGAATTCATTTAAGGTTTGCACACAGACTGCTGAGACAATTAGCTCCCTGCTCCTTCCCAGTCCCAGAACGCCAGCAAACAGGGTTACACTCCCGGTCAGGAAACTGGAGGAGTCTTCACTAAAGAAATGGAAACACCCCCAAGAACAGTAAGACCCAAAGATAGGAAAAAGCCTGCGGACCACCCCTTCCTCTTCCAGTACAGTTCCCCAAACAATTAACAGGCCCCACCTGTGCACAAAGGGCTCCAATCCATTTCTTGTATCCACCTCTTAACGTGAATAAATTTTCAAGGACCACCAGGCCTGGGAGGAATGTCTTCCACGTGAACGGGGGACACCAAAACAAACAGAAAAACGAAAGTTGGAGAAAACAATTTCAAGCAATAGAAAGGAAAAAAAGCTGCCTATAAATAATATTCTCAGCTGGATAAGGAAAAATCTAAACAGATGACAAAATAATGCAGTTTTTAACTCCAGGAAAAATAAAAGTTGAACAAGAAATGAAATACTCTCCTGGTACGTTAGTTGACACGGCACTGAACAACACTCTCGGGGTCACAATGCAAAATATGGAAGAACAAGGACAACAAAAAATGTAATTTAACCATAGAGAGGAAAGGAGAAGACAGGTGTCAGAAAGTAAATTCCTCACCTTCCACAAAGATGATGAATCACGATATAGGATGCTTATGTGATTTAGGAATGGGGCATTAAACGCTAAGAAAACACAGTAAAAGGAATGAAAAGTATGCCTTCAGGAAGAGGACAGGATGGAAGCAGGGACCAGAGGATGCTGGATTTAACTCTTTAGCACCATTAGCTTGTTTGACTATGTGCATCAGAGAAAATAAAAGTTGATTTTAAAATTTAATCGCTCTCAGCCGCAGGTGAAATGTGTTAAGCGATGGTCAGATCACATTACATTTCTGAGGAGTCACCTATTTGATGCACCCAGTGAAGCAGGAGTTTTGTGTTATCACAATCAGCCGTGGTCGTGGGCTGAGCACCTGCCTTGTAGCACTAGACTATGAGCTCCATGAAGACAGGAACCGTGCCCATTATGTCCACTTAGCACTGACCACCATACCCGCCAGTCTCAGTAATAATAGCTACTTTGTTGTTGTCTACCTCTTACCATGTGCCAGTCACCAATTCTAAGCCCTTCACCTGTAGGAAGCCAGTTAATCCTGCCAACGCCGAACAAGATAGACACGACTGTTACCTCCCACTTAATAGGTGAGCCAACCAAGAACGGCAAAGGCAAGTAATTCATCCAACGTTGCCGCCTAGTAAATGGTGAAGCCAGGATTTCATTCCAGTCTGAGACCCTCCCTCTCAATGGCCGTGAGCTCAATAAATACCTGTGGAGGGAAGACAGCTCAGCCGAAGGCAGGAAGGAAGAAAAATTAACAGGAAGAAAAATTAAGAAGAAAGGTCCCCTCTCCTGAGAAGATAATATGGAATCTGATACAACACGGAAACATTAAACTTCCACTGGAGAGAGCAGGAATACAGCAATGTTAGCCTGGAGAAACTTGGAGGCACCTCTACTCAAAAGTTGCTTCTAGGGGCTTCCCTGGTGGCGCAGTGGTTGAGGGTCCGCCTGCCGATGCAGGGGACACGGGTTGGTGCCCCGGTCTGGGAAGATCCCACACGCCGCGGAGCAGCTGGGCCCGTGAGTCATGGCCGCTGAGCCTGCGCGTCCGGAGCCTGTGCTCCGCAATGGGAGAGGCCACAACAGTGAGAGGCCCGCGTACCGCAAAAAAAAAAAAAGAAAAGAAAAGTTGCTTCTAGACTATGAAAACCCAGCACCCACAGACTGGCTGGCTTTGTGCGATGCTGCTTCCTGGTGTTCTCTCCAAAATCACCTCGCAGCAAAATGTAGCTGCAGGAAAGAAGGCGACTCACTGCATGAGCAGGCAGCTGGTATGAGCAGGCGCAGGACAGAGAGCCTGACCTTGTGGGACTTGCCATCCAGACCTGAAGACAACCTCTGCACGTGCCGTCCAAGGCTTCCCACTTGAAGGAAGGCATCAACCCACCAGTTATAAAGCGCCACGTCTCTGCCCCGCCCCACCCGCTACCCTAAGGCCTTCACAAGCCCAATCACCCCCCACCTCACCCCCCCGCCAGGACCCCTCTCGGGCGTTCATACACGCCATCTTCCAGCCACCGCGGCCATTTTCCACCTCTCCTGCTCCAGCGCCAGCTGCCGCCAAAGGTTGCGACGCTTGTGTCAAGGTCACTGCTGCTCACAAACTCCCACTTGTCACTCCACGGGTGCCGGGCGCTGAGGGACTGTGGCAGGCGATATTCGGTGCTGCTTCTCTCCCGCCCGCAGCTCCCAGGTCCTCCAGCACAGACTCCTCCTGGAACCCATCTCTCACCAGCCGCAGCGCCCACCTTGTCCCCAGCGGCCACCCAGACTCGGCGAAATCACTTCCTCACTTTCTACTGGCAGCCCCCATTCTCGGGATTTCGGCCCAAATCCATGCGGCCTTATTTGAATATATATCCCACGTGTGTCCCCGTGGCAGGCCTCGTCTCTGAATCTAGCCTGGGATCACGGCCCTCTCTTTGCTGATTTTTTTCCTCCTTAGTTCCTGGGGCAAAAGACCCCTGGGAATAATTCTAGGAAAGATCGGGAGGAAAGGGGAACTGAAAGCAAAAACAGACTCTCCATTTGGGGGAAAAGGGGCTTTTGCCCAGCTGCACCTGCCAGAGAACACTTCAGGGGAAACGTCAGACATAACAACCCCAGAAGAGGATGGGATCTGGAAGGCAGCAGCCCAGGGCCTTCCAGGAAGGTGGGGTCCAAGGCGGGGGTGTGACAGAGCATGTGGTACCCCAGTGCTCAGAAGTGGGGAAACTGAGCCAGAGGGACGTGTGGGAAAGAATGAGACAAGGCTCCAGATCTTAGACCTTGAATGGCAGGTCAAACAGCCTGAAGTTAAACAAAACACCAATCCTAGGAACCTCTCCTACAGCTCTGTTCACACATACCGTGTGGCAGAGGGACTCCAAGGATGCTCACATGCCTTTCCAACCACCTTCTCCTTTGCCTTCCTCTGCAATTGAGCCTATAAAACAAATCCAATTCCAGCCTCCTTGAAGGCTCGGATCTGTTGCGTGACACAGTCTGACCATTTACATGGAGATGGGTTCCTATAGAAGGGTTGCCTTCCATAACCCCTCCAACACACACACACACACACACACACACACTCGAATTCACAAGAGCAGAAAGCCCTTGGCTTTCGCCCTTCACCTTCACTCTTCCTCCTTCCTTGCTGAAATATAGAAGATCCTGGAGTTGCAGCAGCCATCTTTTCACAAGGAGAACCAAAGCCATACACTAGGATGGCAGAACAGGAAGAGACAAGAACATCCTTGAGCAGCCCTGGAATGCCTACCTCCAGACTTCCTGTTACATTTAAGAGGAGGAAAGAAGGGGACTTCCCTGGTGGTGCAGTGGATAAGACTCCACTCGCCCCATGCAGGGGGCCCAGGTTCAACTCCTGGTCAGGGAACTAAATCCCACATGCATGCCACAACTAAGGAGCCCATGTGTTGCAACTAAGGAGCCCTCCGACTGCAACTAAGACCCAGTGCAACCAAATAAATAAATATTAATTTAAAAAAAAGAAGAGGAAGGAAGGAAGAAGTGAGATAGGAGGGAAGAATCTTGTTTAAGCTATTATAATTATATTTATATTTAATTCATAGTTATAATCTATAACTTACAGGAAAATGCATTCCCAGACACTGGAGGATCATTTGTAATATCATAAAATGGGAACCGTTGCTATGGGAGCGGTAACATAAACTATGAGCCATCTCACTATGGAAAACTACACAGTGGTTAACAAGGATGACGTGAACACACACATATAGAGAGACATGGAAAGATCTCTACAATATATTGCCAAGTAAAACAAACAAATCAACAGAACAAAATGCAGTTTTGACCCATGTATGTGATTTTAAAAATTATATGTGTGCATGTACCTATGTATCTATAAGTGTATAGATAAAAAAGAACATACACCACCTGTTAACAATGACTATTCCTGGGCTTGTGGGAAAGCAGGGTTGGGCCGGGGGTGAAAAAGGGCTTTTGCTCTTCACTCTGTGCTACTGTGGGGAAAGTAGTTGAAAAGTACAGTGTTAGTTTGTGCCTTTCCCTTGGGGTAATTAAGTTCTAGACTCGCTAAACATGAACAGGTGAGTGAAACACCTTGGAAGACCATCCTCTGGATGTCTTTGACTCTAGAATTCCAAATGTGCTGTGTGACCTCCCATCACAGAGAGAGACAGATGGTTGTGTGGAAGGGGGCCCACCGGGACTGCCATGTTGGTGGCATTACTGCTGGGCTTCTGCCCCCTGGAGACCTAGAAATGGAATTCTTGTACCCCAATCAAATAAGCAACTGGGCCACCCAAAGAGCAGACTGTGTGACACCCCGAATCTGCCAAAATGCCCTTGGCCCACTTCAGGTGGGGGACTCTCCACAGCCTGAGCGGGTCTGGCCCACATAGCCAGCTGCCTATGCTCCCCGGGGACCCCAGCCCTACCCCCCTCCATAGACCTGGGGTCTGAAGCAAGAGCACCCCATCACTTCCCCATGGCACCAGGGGTCCTGGTTCAAGGGCACTGGCCTACTTCGGCCTTCTGGGCTCTGCTAAGTGTGGGTCTGCCGAATGCCACCAGCAAGGTGAACGGATGCCACCTGTGAATTACACAGCTGCTGGTCGGGAGAACTGCTCTGTAATCTAAACCATAATGGGTGTGAAGGAGAGAGCGTTTTCAACAGTGGCTGCGCTGCATGTCTGAGGACGCTCACAAGACGCAGCGCCTTGTGGACAGAGCACCAGCTGGGCACGTGGCGCCCCATGCTGGCGCGAGCACTGCGGAGTCCAGTGGGGGGAGAAAGGATCCACGCACACACACGTGCAGGGAGCTGACCAAACCGTTCCAAGGCATTAGGTCAGGTGAGTGCAAATTAATAACAGCGCACACAGGGGATGAGAGGTGGGGGGCAGACGATGTCATCTCAAAGATGGCACAAGGATCTGCTGGAGAAGCACAGGACTCGTAGGATGGGTCCCTGCACAGCGCCTCGGAGGCTGGCCTGCCTCCAGGTAACCACTGGCAGCCTGGCACTCACTGGAGAACAAGGGGGACCACACAGTCCTCCCCTACCAGGGTTCCCGCCTCTAGAGCCAAGTCCCACTTCAGTCCAATCCACCGGGCACATGCAGATGGCAGCTTGGGGCTGAGCCCGGCGGGGGCCACAGTGGGACTGTCACTGGTTAAGCAGCTGCCGGGGCCGGGGAGCAGGGGAGAGACGACTACAGCACGAACAACGGGGCACCTGCGGACAGTGAGCTGGGTGGGGAAGGCTGCACACAGACGCATCCCTCCCCATCTTCCAGTCCACCGGGGTGGTGCTCAGAGCCAGGACTGCACTCCTCCCATCTGTCGCTGGGGCTTGGTACCAAGACCAAGGTCCCCCCTCTGATGGCAACCTTTGGCTTTTGCAGAGGCCGAAGGGTCCACGGGGAGCATGTTATGGGGTGGGACAGAGGCGCTGGGGGCACTAGTTGAGGACATAAGCATAGGGGACCATTGCACCTCTTCGTGATGGTTCCAGAGCCCCCCAGGAATAACCACCCACCCCCTCTTCCTCCCCAACTCCTACCCCATCTCACTGACCTGTCTACCCCTGGCACCACCAGCCCCTCTCAGCTCTCCCCTCTCCTTCTCCAGGAGGGTGGGGTGATGCCATTGGAGAGGGGCCCTTGGGGGAGCAGCAGATAGAACTCCCTCACCATTCTCTCTCACCCTCTGGCCCATCTGCCACCTGCTTTCCCCGCCCACCCACCAAAAGGGTGCTTTTAAAAGGAATCAGCTTAAAAAGGGGGAAAAAACCCCAAACCCTCCCAGCAACAAAGAATCATATAATTACTTTGCAGCTACTTGTCCTTGGTAATTTGACGCTTGTGTTGCTATAATTACACATTCCGTAGAGTTAGAGAGTCACAAGTCTGGGTTGGCCCATCGGTGACATCTGCAGTATTTTCAACTGGAAAAAAAAAAGTCGGGGAGGGAGCCTGGCTGCTGGAGCTGCAGACCCAGGCATGGAGGGGGAAGGGTGGGAAATGTAGGACGTGGTGCAGGTGAGGCTCTGGGTGGGCGCTAGGGGGAAGGACCGAGCAAGTTTTTCTCTCATGCCTGCTGTGTGCTTGGTCTGATTTATCCAGGAGCGCGCAGGGTCTGTGCGTGAAAACTCACCCCCTTGCCGCACGTGCGGTCCGCTGACTCAGGTCCGAGTTCACCTCTGAACCGGCTCTCACCTTCGTCTTCATCGAGGCTGCTCTCTGCTTCGCCCTCACCTGCACCCCTGCCTCCACTGTCCCCCATGTTCATCTGTTCTCTCAAACCCACAGACGTTCCTTTTTTTTTTTTTTTTTTTGGCCATGCCACTCGTCTTACAGGATCTTAGTTCCCCGACCAGGGATGGAACCCGGGCCCCCTCCAGTGGAAGCGCAGAGTCCTAACCACTGCACCACCAGGGAAGTCCCAAGACGATCTTTTTAAAAAGGTGAATCTGATAGCATTCCTTCCTGCCTGGCATTCCCTGCCTCACCGTTGCCTTTGAGAGAGCTCCCGCATGAACCACCGGGAGGTCTGGCTGCCCCGGGGCTCCAGCCCCATGTGAGGCTGTGCTGGGGGTGCTCTCCCGGGGAGCAAGGCTGAGGTCAGAGCAGGCCGCCCCCGACAGGGAAGGCCCGGGTCCAACCTCTCATGGCTGCACCCTAGTCTCTCTCCCCGGCGGGCGCGGGAGCTGCGGCACGTAGCCCTCTGGCGGGACTGGAGATTTAGTTCTTCCAGCCTCGTCTCTTCAAAGCTGGTCCAGTGTTTGAGAACCAAACTCTTGAAGATGGAGACAGTAACAAGGATGAGGGAGAGAACGGACTGCCCTTGGCTTCTGAGACCCGTAAAAGCGACACAAGTGAGCTGCATGTAACTGACCCCGTGGTGTGGGAAGCGGGGGCCACACCTCCCCTCCTGATGGAACCAAGTCAGGCTCGGGAGCCCAGGCTACACCGTGTGAAACAACCTAGAGACAGCAGGCTTTGCTTCCCAGGCACCGCAGAGACGTGCCGGGTAAGCGCTGCTGCGTGTCCCTTGCCAGAAGCTTGCAAAGGTTAAACACACCCCAAATACCAGGGGTCCCCGCAGTTTGGTCCCTTGTAACTTAGCAAACTGCACTGGGGCCTCTGTCAACTTCTGCTACGTTGGCACCTGTGCCCCTGGGCAGCCGAGCGGGTCACAGCCAGGTGGGCACCCCCACCTAGCTGCTCAGCCTTCACCTGCGGAGACGGCAGGTCCAGACTCAGTTAAGCCACCTCTGAACATCGTCCAGTCTTGGCTCAGGGGGCCAGGGGCTCTGGGGTGTCCACTGACTTTCTGAACCTATGGAATGCACTGTGTCCCCACCCCTACTCCCCGGGGAGTGTGTTGGTGTGGGTGGGAGCAGGAAACATAGGAAGGGGCAGGTCAACTCCTCAAAGCGTTAATTCCCAGCACCTCCGCCCTCGCACACCCTGCCCTGCCCTGCCCTGCAAAGCCTTCCCCCTCGGGCCCCTCTGTCCCCAGCTGGATCCTCCCTCCAACTGCCCTCCCCTCCTCCTTTCCCAGCAAGTCTCTAAACAGTCCAGTCTTCTCCTAAAAAGAAAGAAGGTAATAGCTGTCCCTTAAGAACATCCTGTATTAGTCTCCTGTTGCTGCTGTAACACGTCACCACGAACTTGGTGGCTTAAAAACAACAGAAATGTCTCTCTCACAGTCTGGAGGCCAGAGGCCCAAAGCCAAGGTGTCAGCAGGGCCACCCTCTCTAGGGAAGAACCCTCTGTGGCCTCTTTCACCTTCTGGCAGCTCCTGGCATTCCTTGGCTTGTGGCTGCAACACTCCCATTTCTGCCTCTAGTCCTCACACGGCCGCCTTCTCTGTGTCCCTGTGTCTTTTTCTGTCTCTTATACGGACACTCTCATTGGACTCAGGACCCACCCTAATCCAGGCCGATCTCATCTCCATCCTTACCTTAACTGCATCTGCAGAGACCCTATTTCCAAATGAGGTCACATTCTGAGGTTCCAGACGGACATGAATTTGGGGGGCTCACTATTCAACCCATTCCACCTACCACGTACGCACATCATGCTGGATGTTTACCTCATTACCCGGTCGACTTCATGGGCCACGCTTCTCAACGTCACATTCAATAAAGAAATTGAGGCTTGAAGAAATGGATTGAATGGTGGCCACCAGTGTCCTTGCTGGTCCCCCTCTGCTGTGTTGCAGCTAAAACGGGGGCCTTCTCTGGGATGGTGTCCACAGCTGGGGAAACGGCTGGGCCCTGCCCACCTCTCTCGGCCACAATCCCAGGTCTGAGACTGAAGGGGGACAGCTAGCTAACAGCCCAAACTCTGAATATTATATAAACCAGGACAGCCGAGAGGCAGAGACCGTGGAGAAGCTGACTCAGAGTCAGCCGTCCTCGGGCTAGCTAAGTAGGGCAAACTCCGTGGAGAGGCTGTGGTCAGAAAGGTCTGTTTCTTTGTAGAGGCCGGTGGCGAGGAGAGGGCATCTTCAAAGGTTCTCCTTGGTTCCAACAACCATTGAGCTCGACTATGGGCAGGGCGCTCTTTTTCAGAGAAAGCTTTAAGCAACGGCCCTTTGAGCTTTAAAGAGGGGTCAGTCACCTGGTTGCCATGCAGAGAGCACAGAATTATAGAAGCCACGGACCCGCCCTCCAAGCAGCGACGCAGAGGCATGGGGGAAGGGGGAACAGGGATGCTAATGAGGAAATGGATGGAGAACAGCCCACAGCGACCATGCAGAAGAAAAATAAAATTGGGCCCAAACCTTCCCCCATGAATGAGCTCTCAAGGATAAAAGGGATGGGCAGAGTTGGTGAATAAAAAAACAAACCTGGTACCTGGCGGGAGGCATCAGCCCACATGTTAGCATTCTACTCTTCATCTGCATTCCTGGGGTTCACTTTGGGAACTCAGGCAGGCTGCGTCTGATGTTCCTGCGGGGGAAGAATTAAAAGTGCTGCAGCCTGGAGAACACCTCTGTGAATGGCTGAGCTCCAGGATGGGTGAGGATGGGTGAGGATGGGTGTGGCTGGGATGCCTGCAAGGTGTGAGGGCAGCCTGAGCAGCATAGAGAACAGCTAGCAGGAAGCCCCAGCCAGAAGCCAGGTCCGGTTGCTAAGAAGCATCTTTCTTTGAGTAATGGTTCTAAAGGGCTGAGCATCTCTTGAGGTGGCCAGACACCACTTCCTGCATTTTCCGAGGGAGGAAAAGGGGTTCCTAGAGTTCCATGATTTTATCCTCTCACAGAACCCGGGGAAATTCCACCATTTCACTTTATTCCTATTTTAGAGAGAGTAAATGGAGATTTTGAAAGTTTAAGTAATGTCCTCAAAGTCACATGGCTGAGAAGCGGCAGTCTGTGAGACCCAAAGCCCTGGTCCCACTTCTGCCAACGTGTGAAATATTGGCCTCACTGGGGGCATGTGACCAAGGGCCCAGCCTTCTTGGATAGAAACAAAGGGACCAGCTTAGTGACAGTCCAGAGGGACTTTAGTTTCTTCATGAGGCGTCATGAATTGATTTTTTAAAAAATCTCATGCAGCATTTAAATTCATTTCAACCCCAAATAACAGTACCATGAGGGGCTAAAGAAACTGAGAGTGCAGGAAACTTCTGTGGAGGGAGACAGCTCCCGACCTGCGGGCTGAATTCATCAGAGGCTGATGCACGGCTGCATATTCTACCTGGGTTTTGCATTCGTGAAAATTTTGCTGAGGTGGCAACACACTATCTGACACATGAGGAAACGGATTGAGAAAGGGAAACTGATGTCTCTGTTTCCACAGAGAGTGACAGGCCCCGGGACAAGACGAAAACTAGGAACCCCTGGTCCCAAGCCCCAGCCTCCACAAGCCGGTTCCTCCATGCCCGTGATCCCCCTCTCGGTGTTGGTTTTAATTCAATTCAAGGGCAAATCATATATCAAACTAACTTGACCCTGGAATGATAGTAGACACTGAATAAATTATAAAAACACAGACGTTTGGAGCTGGATGGGACCCTGGGGGTCATGGGCCCGGTGGTTCTCAGCCATTGTGCACATTTGAATCAGACACAGGAATGTGAAAACGGGGCAAGTGGATTGGCCTGGGTTGGGCCTGGGCATCCGTCTACTCTAAAGGCTCCTGATTTTATAGATGAGGAATCCGACTGCCACCCAGTGCCCCCACCAGCCCCTAAAGGATTTGAGGACAAGAACATCACATCCCCTTGGGAAATGTCTGTCCCTTTGGAAGCTGGACTTATTTTGTCCTGGAAGAGTGAAAAACCACCATGGAGGACTTTGGATGCCAGGGCTGGGGCATTTGGAGTCTACCCTAAGGGGAACTCAGGGCTCTTCAGGATTTTTAAGAGCAGTGAGACCACGCAGCCTCTGTTGAAGGCTGACTGTATCAGGGAGGCCAGGGGACAGAGGGTGTGGGCTCAGCGCTTTCCAAAGGCAAGGGATGGGGCTGGGCACTTCTTGGAGCTCTTTGTTCAGCCCTGTGCATTCCTATCAAATTTGAAAATTGGGGCCTACCGAAAGGCTTATTATTATTATTCTTTTCAGTCTTTTTCAAAGACTTAAAGGCACGAAAAGCAAGGGAGCGAGAGAGCACAAAAATGTGCATCTAGCCAGAGGGAGCCCCGTTTGGCAACCTGAAATCTCTGCTTCTCGTTAATTAGCAAAGCTGAGAAATCACCCTTCAAAGCTGGCTTTCCAACCAGAAACGCCAACTGCTCAACCTTTTGTGGGAACCGTGCCACTGGCCCCCTGGATGGCCCAGTGCCCTGACCACACAACTGAAGCGTCCACTCTCGCCACTCCAGCCTGTTAACTGCCGAGGAGAGGGGCCCCCGCTCGCCCTCTTTATCTGTCACCTCCAGGAGCAGAGCTGTCCTCGCGCTTCTCCCAGATCCAGGCTGGCGGAGTTGCCGTCCCCCGTGCCAGGCGCTGGCCGCCGCTCCTCTCCTGCTTCCAGGATCTGGATCCCCGTCCGGCTCAGGGCTCACACCCTGGCTGGCTCGGCTCCGGCCACACTGCCGAGCACAGGAACATCTGGGGAAGTGGCGCTGGCAGGTGGTGGCGGCTCCCGGAGCTGGACCCGCAAGCACGGTGGCCTCCTCTCCTGCTCAGCTGCGCTGGGGTGGTCGGAAAGTACAGGGCAGCCGCACGGACGGGGAAGGGGACCCTTGGACGCCAGGCTTCCCACGATGAAGGACTGTGATGCTGTGATTTATAACAGGAAATATAAATTTGGTCTGAGTCCCTGCTCCTGGCACAGAGCTCCCAAAACCCTTGGGATTACCTACTGGAGGAGAGCCATAAAGGTGTCTCTGTTATGTGAATAGGGTGCCTGGAGGGTTGGAAATTCCAGTCCCTCCCCCAGCCTCTGGGGAGCGGGGCGGAGCTGGAGTTTGAGTCAATCACCAATGGCCAACGATTTAATCAGTCGCAATGAAACCTCCAGAAAAACCCCAAAGGACATGGTTTGGGGAGCTTCTGGGTTGGTGAACACATACAGATTTGGGGGAGCAGCCCCCAGAGAGAGCATGGAAGCTCTGTGCCCCTTTCCCCATGCTTGCCCTATGCATCCCTTCCATCTGACTCCTGAGTTAATCCTTTTATAATAAACCAGTGATCTAGTAAGTAAAATGCTTGTCTGACTTCTGAGCTGCTCTAGCAAATTAATCGAACCCAAGGAGGTGGTTGTGAGAATGCCCACTAGACAGCTGGTGGGTCACCGGTGACAACCTGGACTTGCAATTGGCATCTGAAGGTTGGGGGGGGGGCAGTCTTGTGGGGCTGAGCCCTTCATCTGTGGGATCTGACGCTGTCTCCAAGTAGTGTCAGAACTGAGTTAATTGCTTGGTGGTGTAAAAAAAAATTGCTTGGTGGGAGAAAAAAAACACACCCACGGGAATTGGTGTCAGAATCATAGGCAGGAAGCAGGGTTACTTCACCTGGAAAAGAGACAACAGAAGGACAGACCTCTGGGTTCCCGTGAGGACTGTCGTCACTGTAGGAGGACCAGAATGACGGTACTGACCCCAGAGGTGGAACCAGGCCCTCCGGGTGGAAGCAACAGAAAGACAAATCTCCTGGGACAAGGGTGTGTGGCTGCCTCTGGACAAGGCAGGTTCCCAGAGGACGGGGAGGGGAGGAGGCCAGGTACGAAGACAGGGGTGTCGCAAGGCTGGACTCCACCCGCCCCAGAGGTCTCGGGGGCTGCCCCAGCCGAGGGAGTGCACCTGTCTACTCCGTGGAGGGGAGGGAAGGCGTCAGAAGGGACGGATTCCACTCCCAATTCTGCAGCGAATTTGTCGACAGTGGGATCTGGCAAATCACTTAACCTCTCCGAGTCACAGGCTTCGCGTCTGTAAAATGACAGGTCTCGGAGAAGACCCTCTCCAAGTCATTTCCAATCTTCAGTGCGGCAGTGCCGCCCTGCCCCCACCCTCCCCCCTGTCCTGTGGCCAGAGAGGGGTTTTTGCAAGGTAACCCCAAGTCAGGAAGTGTGTGTGCATTCTGGGGCTGGAGGGGAGGGCACGGAGAACTGTTTATATCATAATAAGGTCAGTGTTATGCTAGCACAGAGGCTCTGAATCTCAAATGTGATACTGATGAGGACTTTGGGGAGAAATCACCCCCTTGCAATTTGCAATGGTTCCGATTGGTTTTAGGAACTTAAAGAAAATAAGAGGAAAAGACAAGTCTCCCCGAGAGCAGAGCATCACCACCGCCCCCCTTCATTCCACCAAGCAGCGGAGTGGACGGGTGTGGCTGGCTCACGACTATATCCAGAGGCAGCGAAAGCTCACAAGAAGCCAGAAGAAACTTCTCAAATCCTGGTGGAGGCTGGGGGTGGGGGTGGAGAAGAAGGGGAGGGGTCTTGAGGAAAGAAGGAGTTAAAAGGGCAGAAAAATTGTGTGGGAAGGCAAGAAGTAGCTACTAAGGCAGAGAGGGTGCCGCACGCTGGCCTAGGGGGTGTCCACTTGGCGCCATCCCAACGGTCTGAGCCAAGATCGCCAACTCCCAGAAGAGGCGAGGATGCACAGCTGCTAGCCCAGGACTGCGGGTCGGAGGGAGCATCTAACGCCTGAGTTTCCTTCTAGTCCCACCTCTGAAGTTTAGATTTCTCACAAACACCTTAAGATGAATCTGAACATCCTTGGTATCTCCTATGCTCACGTGTGCTCGCTTTAAGGGGATGGTGGCCAAGTTGGCCACAGCTAAGGGTGTAGAGTAAGTCCCAACCCCCAGCTGCAGTCAACCCAGGCAAGAGAGTCATTTTTACTACGGGCCACGAGTCACTTTCAATGGCTGAAAAAATAACAAGGTGGGTCCTTTGGGCTCTCTCCTACCCACTCTGCTTCATATCCTGGCTGAAAAGATAAGGAGAAAAGTGGGAGAGGCTACCATCTTGGATCTCCAAACTTTGCTGCAAGGTCCCTCTGTGCCTCAATCCCATTTAGGGTCCCACAGAGCCAGAGGTGGAAGCTGCCAAGCTGCAGAGCTGTTCTGGTGTCCACGGGTGTGGCAATGGGGTCATGGCAATGGGAACAGCCTCTCGGAGTGAGAGGGACTTGGAATGGGTAGCTGGAACCTTGGTTCTGGAATCAGCTTGGGAGGTGGGTGTGAGCACTCTTCTCTTGGCCCCAAATTTTCAAGCAAAGATGTCTTCCCAGAAAGGGGAGGCAGGTCTGTTGGAGGAAAGAGTTCTGGGAAAATCCAAGCTAAATTTCTTACCTCCTGGCAGAAAGGGGGTGAAAAGACCCCTAAGTGGGAGGTGAGTTTGCAGAGCTCCATGGACAGCAGTGGAAGGGGCAGAGAAGCTGGGAACGTTCATCCAGAGCCTCTGTGTGCCTCAGCCAGGCGTCTGCTAGAGAGATTCATGGTGTCAGCAAAACCCTCAGGCTTCGCGAAGTGCCCACGGGCCTTCCAGAACCTTCACGATTAGTCTGGGTGGGGGAAGAGGAAGGAGAGGCCACAGGAATTTTGAAGAAGGAGAATAACACTGCCAGCTCAAGTCTTAGAGACTAAAAGAGAAAACATCACAGGGAGAGAGGTTAGCAGCTGCTCCAAACCCACCCCCAGGACCTGGGGCCAGGCCCCGCTCATGGCTCCACCCTCCCACTTCTGGTTCCCATATGAATAGGGTGGTATTAAAGGTGAGCTGTTTAGAGCCTCTGAAATATCTCTGGTGTTGGAGGAGATGTTAGTGACAGGTCAGAACAAGCTGGACCAGGCCTCGGGGAGGCTAGAGCTCCCCACAGCTCCCATTCCCAGCTCCCTGGCTGGCAGGGCTGGAGGTGAGACAGGTGCATATCAGAGAGAGGGGGACATACCTGGCAGTGCCAGAGGTTAGGTCCCAAGATGATTCTCCTCTGGTCCTTCCCCAGCAGCATCTAACCCAGGCTTCACTGCAGGACGCAACAGAGTTCGGCCTCTGACGCAGGTCCAGGACAGACACCACTGCAAGGTATGTGGTGACAGGCCAGGAATTCGGGGGATGGCCTGAGGGTAAGAGAACTCATGCTGCACCTCAAAGGCCTGGCAACATGGCCCAGGTTACTGGGACAAATTCTCATCCAGTCCAGTGTTAATCCATTATTTCCACAACCTGGTTGAATCAATATGCAATGACACTATGGCTTCTGACCCTGCTACTCACGCCCACCTCCGAGGGTGTGGGGGGCAGGGTTGCACGGTTTCCAAGGTAACCGTGCTGGTGGGGAAGCCTCAGGGATCCAGGCCCAGGAGACTAGCCTGCCGCAGCTTAAAGGTTTGCCCTCCATGGATGGGATGGGGCTGCAGGAGCAGGGCGTGCCCTCAGTTGTTACAAGACCCTAGAGCACTCAGTAGTGTAAGGGACCACATTAAGAACACCCAATGAATGGCATTACACGGGAATACTCAGCTTGGTTAAGGTGCAGAGAAATGGTAGGAGGTGAGGTCTGAAATTCCAGTTGATGCTCAACTGTGGGCGGGGGCCTTGCACACCTAGCTAAGAGGTGTGGGCTTTTCCTTGGAAGCAACGGGAAGGCCCTGAAGGGAGGCAGGAGGGAAGTGGAATCAGCATCCAGATGTGTGCTGGTAGCACCTCTTCCTCCCTCCAAAGGGCCCCTCTTCCACGCTTCCTCTACATACCAGTTCCTGCCCCAGCCAGCTTTCCAGGTCAGTGCTTGGCATCCAAACAGGATCTCCTGAGCACATTAACAGACAGTGTGATGTTTACTGGAATCCAAAGGGAGGGAGTCTAATGAGCGTTAAATATGACACGACGTTTACAACCTCCAATTAAAAACTCAGTAGTGAAATAAAAATTATTATTTTTCTTAGGCAGAGACATCTCTTTGAAAAAAATATTTTGATAAGTCACTTATGGTGAATGACATGATTATCAGAAATGATCATAAAGCGGCCTTTTAAAATGAAAGTAGGTCTAGTTAACCCCGTCACTCTTTGTTTCACTATGGTCTGTACAGAGTTTTCTGCAAGTTTGGGAGTGGAGGCTGGGCAGGGCTGCTCCGCTTGTAATGAACGAGGAGAGGACCGCCACCCAGGTCGGGCACTTCCTGGGGACAGGGAGATAGAAAAAGCTTTTCGAGAAGCGAAACACCTGAAATGGATCTTTAAGCAGTTTGCTGTGATGTAAACGCCCACACCGCCTCCCTTGGGAGAGCTTCTGGAAATCCTACTACGCAGACTTCTGCTCTTGCGTGAGGGGATGCTTTCTGAGTTCTGCTCCCAAGTTCATGCAGGATAGACATAGAGGCTGTTCCCACAAATGCTGGCGCCAGAGGACGAGGGACAGCTGACATCTGGCACCAGTGGAGGGACCATGAGTCACCTGTGCTGGACGTGCCCTGAAGACAGTCTTTAGGAGGAGACAGGGCTGCGGAGAGGCAGGCGGTGGATGTGAGGATAGGATGAGTCCGTAGGGGACGGGGGATAGAATCCACTGGCCCTGTGACCGGTCAACCACCAGCACCAGCACCTGCTCGCATCCCTGTTTTTTCCATCTGTGTGATGATCTTTGATTCTCACAACTCAGCAGGCAAAAAGCAAGAGCACGGGGAGGGCAGGAGACCGAGATGACAAAGACTCAAAGGAAGTTCTGTCAGGGGAGAAAAATAAATAATTATAGGCTTTCACACCAAGCACTGCTCTGGGGATCCAACTGTTCGCCCTGTGTTCGAAGTGTACATTTACTAAGAAAGCAAAAATAAGCCAGATAAAGGCGATTGAAACCCTCCCAGAAAGGCTTCCCCTGCTCGTGCCCCGCCGTCACATCGCCCTGTGGCTCTCCTGAGCACGGTGCAGCTAGCCACAGAAACGGAAGGCTGTAATTAAAGGGAGACGGGCTGCTGCTAGATGCTCAAATTAAACTCCTTTAAATGACAACAACATTTTTAATAAAGAGATGCCAAACTCAGCACGCTTTGGTCATTACTGTAGCACTTTTCTTCCAGGAGGGTTAGCAAATAAGAAGTATGGGGCCTTGAAATTTTGATCAAGCAAAGTGTTTTAAAGGGTTTTATTTCCTCCCTGTTCATTAAAATTGCACTACTGTGATTCTATTCTGTATATAAACTAGATACACACACGCCTGCTGTGTCACTTCTACCAAATGAGGACAATAGGACCCTCCGTAGGAGCTAATATCTCTTTGAGGATCTGTTGGGGAAAAGCCATACATATAAAAATATAAATGAAAATGTCCCCATATATATTTATATATATAAAGATACAAAAAAGTGCTTATTTCCATCACTAGGGTATGGTTTTAACTTGAGAACACATGAGAAAAATATGTTTATTAGGTCAGAGAAACAGATCTAGACTTGGGAATGTGACTAAAAGGAGACTGGAGGCCTCTCACCTGATGGCTGAACCTGGGAGGAACGGAACCCCAGAGCCTCAGACGAGAGAAGGACCCTGATTGCTGCAGCCTGGAGCCTTCTGCTCCCAACACTGCCCCTCCATTTAGCCCCAATGACTAGAAAGGAAGGGAAAAAAAAAGAGAGAAGCAAGAGGAGAGGAAGAGAGAAGTGGGCAGGAGAGAGAAAAGAAGGATGAAGAGACAGAGGGAACGATTTCAAGGTGCCTTTGGTCACAGTAAGGTAAACCATCTCAAGCCACTTAAGAGAAAAAGAGGGATGTACTATAAAGACAGAGAGGTGATTCATGGGAATCCACTCAAGTGGGGCTTGGGAAAGTTCTAGAACAAGGACCTAGAAAATCTTCAAGCACCCATGTCACCCCCAGGCTCTTCCAGCTCCCCACCCTGCTCCTCCCTCTGCCTCATTCCGTCTCTCCAGCCCAGCACCCTCCACTTCTCAGCCCTCAAAGCTGCACACGAAGACCCGCCAGTTCTTAGGATCGTACATGTATGTCCCCCACACCCAGCCGCGTGCAGAAGCCAGCTGGCCATCTCTGAATCCCAAGTCCAACCTCCCTGGGGTGAGAATTTGATTGGCTCACACACGCCCACCTCAGTTCAATACTGCAGAGAGGGGTCACATGATGCAAATGTGGGCAAGAGCCCAGCCCTGGGGCAGAAGCATGGGGGTTCCTAGGATAGAGGGATCACCCTAAAGGTTAGGTGAGGGAAGGCTCCAGAAAGTGGGAAAGGAGGGACAGAGAAACCTGTTTATCCTCCTGTTCTCAGGAAGCGTGACGCCTCCCTCCTCAGTTGTCAGGGCAAGAAGAAACCGGGTCTAGACACAGGCACACTGAGTTATGTGTCATGGAACCTTCTGGAATCCTTCCCCCTACGTCTTTGCCTCACTCAATAGCTACCAAACAGGAGCAGCCTGTTGGATCCCTTCTTATTCCAGGAAGACCCTGTGGAAAATGAGTCAAAGGTGAAGACCGTCTTCCTTGCCTCCCTTCCCGGAATTATCTTCCCTGTTCCCATCTTACCCTAGTGCCCTCTCATTATTTCCCCAAATGCTACACCATTTCTTGTAATAATATTTTTAAATTAAAATTTAATAATATTTTAAAAATTTGCTTTCATTTCACTTTACACCTAAACAAGAAGCCATGCAAAGGATGTAAACAAGACCAAGGAATCAAGATTCCCCATCACCTTCCTCACACCCAACAGGTACATTCCAAATCTGTGGTCATTGTAGCTTCCATGAAGTGGGCAGTCTTCCAGCTCAGAGGATCATCCTATTAATACTTTAAAATCTGTTCACTTGTCACTATTCAGTTGGTCATGCAACCAATACTTACTGGTATGTCTTCTAGATACCAGATAATGTGCTAAACACTGGATACAGCCATACAGGACAAACACAAGTTTCTGCTCTCATAGAAGCTTAATGACTTGCCAGGAACACAGTCACTGAAGAGTAATTCCACACATTAGAAGCGTTGCAAAGGGAAATCGAGGGTATGGGAAGAATTTATGAGGGTGAGTCAAGGAACGCCGCCTTGACTAGGTGAAATTATATAGGCTTGCAGCTTATGTGTTAGTTTACCAGGGCTGCCATAACGAAGTGCCACAGGATGGGTGGCTTAAACGATGAAACTTATTTTCTCACAGTTCTGGAGACCAGAAGTTCAAGATTATCGTGCTCGTGGGGCTGGCCTCTCTCTTTGGCTTACAGGCACCCATCTTCTCCCTGTGTCTTCCACATGGTCTTCCTTCTGTGCCTGCGTCCTAACCTCCTCTTTAAAGGCCACGGTCATACTGGATTAGGGCCCATCCTAACCACCTCATTTTAACTTAATTATCTCTTTAAAGATCCTATGGCCAGGACTTCCCTGGTGGTCCAGTGGTAAAAAAATCTGCCTTACAATGCAGGCGACGCAGGTTCGATCCCTGGTCAGGGAGCTAAGATCCCACATGCTGGGGAGGGCGGGGGCAACTAAGCATGCGTGCCTCAACTCGAGAGCCTGTGTGCCACAAAGTACAGAGCCCACGTGCTCTGGAGCCCACGCGCCACAACTAGAGAGAAAAAAAAAAACCCACACGCCACAACTAGAGAGAAGCCCGTGCACTGCAACGAAGAGCCTGGCCATGCACGGCCAGGAAAGATCCCACATGCCACAATGAAGATCCTGTGAGCCGCAACTAAGACCCGATGCAGCCAAAAATTAAATAAATAAATAAAATATTTTTTAAAAAAGATCCTATGGCCAAATACAGTCTCATTCTGAGGTCCTGGGGTTTGGCGGGTGGTGGTGGGGGGGCACAATTCAGTCCATAACGGCCTGATCATTGCTAGCCAGGTGCCCAATCTTGGAAAGAGCCTTCTAGAAAGAAAACACAGCTAGAGAAGATCAAGGATGATCATGAAACGTCTAGTAAATCAGGTTAAATACTTTCGACTTTAGATCTTAAAGGTGACCTTGAGATCCTTGAAGGAAGAGGGACGTGACAAACCGCAGGTTAGAAAGATCATTCTGGCTTCACTGTGGAACATGAATTGGAGGAACGAGATGCATACGCGGAGAACAGGCGCTGCCGACAGTCCAGGTGGCAGGTGGAGGGGACTCAGCCTGGAGGAGAGCCCTAGGTCTGGGGAGTAGCTGGGATGTGACTATACGCCGGGATGCAGGCAAATGCTGAACAGAGCCCCGGGAAGCACCGATGTTTGAGGATGAAGAGAAGGCAGAAAAGAGCAACCAGAAAGGTGCCAGGAAACCACAAGAACGTGTGGTCACCAGAGCCGGGGACCGGAGTGCCCCTAGCAGGGAGGGGTCGGAGGGCAGAACCGTCCAACAAGGGAGGATGGGGAGTGGCCACTGGATGTATTTATCTGGAGGCCAGCGGTGCCCCGAGTGAGGGCAGTTTCGGGGGTGTGGAGGGCTGATAAAGGTCCATGGGAAGGGGAGGTTGCGGGACAACCCTGGAATATTTGGGCTGGGGATGCGAGGAGAGGGAAGAAATCACAGCCGGGAGGTTAGGGATCCCAAAGGAACATTTTTAGAGGGAAAAGGTTGAAACACACTTGAACGATGTTGGAAAAGAGCCAGTAGAGGAAGAACATCAGATCCTGAGGAGGCAGGTGGGAACGGCGGTCCTGGGAAAGAAAAGGGGCGATTCTTCCACCTCAGTGCAAATGGAGCAAGAAACAAAGAGCAATCAGAGCCTGCAGTCACAGCGATGGCATCCCAGCCAAGAGGTGTGTGCAGGGGAAACACGCAGTAGAGGGACTCTGCGTGGATTCTGCATGTAGACAGAATGGATGCATTAATGAAGAATGGAGTGAAGAGTGAATACCCAACGCATTTGGCGACAGCTGTATGAATCAGGCCTGCTCTTTTCTTTTTTTAAATAAGATTTGTCCTCAAATTGCCACCTGTGCCCCTTGGCGGTTCGGTATCTAGACTAGCAGACAGGAACCATCCCATTACCCCCTGGAAGTAGGCCATCGAGCTACCCACAGACAAGCCAAATTTTTTCTCCAGAATATTTTGAATTAACTATAAAAGCTGGAAGAGTGTGATTAATCCCCTAAAGCTGCAAACCACAGAGTGTGCAAGAACGGTCGTCTGGGCCCGGATCATTCTAAGGGCCATTGTTCTGAGCAAAAACAACGGGCAGACCTCCAGCGAGCTGGGTCTTTCCTCCTCCGTCCTTGCCTGGGGCCCCCTCCACAACCCTGCAGGTCCTAGATGTGCCTGTGACCGGACACCCCGCTCTGCGGGCCCCGAGGTCAGGAATAAAGCCCCTTGGAATAACCGGGCCATTGAATCTCAAACTGAATCACCCCCAAAGGCCCATCTTCTCCAGTTACGGGGCTCATCAGAGCTCAGGTAATGTAACAGCTCCTCCTGCTAATGGCGCATGAGCAGGTGGAGGAGACAAACCAGCCCCTCTGCTACTTCGCTGAAGAGAAATGGGGAGGAAACGGTCATTGACTGTAGCCCCGAAGTTCTTAGTGTTTTGGAAGAACTTCCTACCATGAGTGAGCTGCAGCATGAAGAATGGATTCACCGGGAGGTTGTGGTGGTTATAAGCAAAACAGACATTCATCCGTGCATCCTAGTGACCGATGGCCAGCGTTCTGGAATTTGTCATTCTAGAAGTTTCCATGGCTAGTCTCACTGGTAGGAAGGAGGCATGAGAGATCCCTGGAGCCAGAAGAGGTCTTCAGA